AAGGGTGTTAAGACCTGGCTCTGCCAACTTGTATGCGGACCGGGGGGGGGGTGTTCACAGCACTGGGGGGGTTTGGTAGCCTGAGGATGCTTTCTCTGCCTTTTTAGTTTGCATTGTAGTTTTAACTTTTTAGCTTAATCTTAACTTTTTGTAGTTTTTTAACTTATATATTTTTTCTAGGATTTTATAATTTTCTATCTGTAATGCCACCTAGAGTCACTTGTATAGTGAGATAGGTGGCATATATACATTTGAAAAATAAATAAATAAACTCAGTGGAACTAACTTCAAGATGACTTGGCTTCTTATGTGAAAAACAGTTCACTGACTGATTTGGTTAATGATGATTTACCGAATAACTGGCTGGGTTCATACAACTCACTAAACTAAACTTATAATTAAATGTGTTATATGCACCCTGTCTGCTTTGTTTTGTTTTTGTTTTGGTGCCTCTACTAAACAAGTCATATGCACAAATACACACATCAAGTAAATCTTGGCTGATTCCAGGGTTGACCCTATTTAATACTTGAACCATCTGGGAAGTTCAGAACTGTAGACTAGACTAGGAAGTCAAAAGAAAAAAAACATTCTGGAAGAAAACAATGGCAATCCAATTCTGTGTTACTGCCAAGAAAACTACATGAATGTAAGTCACCAGGAGTTGATCTCAATTCAAAGATTATTTTTTTATACACACACAAAATCGGTACTTTAAACTTCTGTAAAGCTTAAGTTTACATTTTGTCTCCAAATCCCATATCAATTTTAAATGAAAACAGATCACATATAAAGAGCAAGAAGTTGTCCTGTCCACTTTTGGAATATGGCCCTTGATATGCCATGCAAAACTTAATATGATCATGATGATAGGTGAACATCTATGTACTAAGCCATAATTTGTTTAGTTTTAGTTTAATGTGATAACCAACCAATAATGTGACTTCTGAGTTGATGGACTGTTACATATTTCCCAATTCTTCTTTTACAGGGCAAGACTAGTAATTCTGCTGTCAGTTGTGGTTGATTCACTGTATCATGATTACAAAAACTTTTTGTTTACTCAGGACAATCTATGAATAAAGTTAGCATCTCAGTACCATTTCCAATAATTCTATAACATTGGTCACTATTACTATATTCATAATCTAGATTTTGAAAAATGGGTGATTTAGTTGCTAAAGCTACCTAGTTGATTTCATGACATACATGACATTTAAACTACTAACTGGCTACATTAATAGTAGATTAAATATGATCAGTCAGCCAATACATTGAATCATAAACTAATTGAGTGGACTGAGCTCACCCAGTACAACTCATCCAAAAAAATCTAACCATGAATGTCAGTAATAAAGCTATTATTTAATTATGTCTCAGAAGAACTTATGTGCGGCTCCATTTTGGGAGCCAAAAATGGTTTACAGAATATAAACAAAGTTAAAAACAAAAATTAATTAATAACATTACAATCTACCAATCTGATGGAGCACCCTTCATGGGTAGCATGATCAACTCATCCCTAAATACTATCCAAACAGCCATCTTTTTACAGCTCTATGAAAACGTGGTAAGGACAGGATGGTCCAGATATCCAGGTATAAGCTATTCTAAAGGCACCCAGTGCTTTTCTGGATCTTTACCTGACCAGATAAAGTGTGAATCCAGCCAATGTATATGCCTCGTCTCACTCTTAACTTTACATGTGTTCATGGGAAGTCTAGTTCAGCCTTCCCAACCTAGTTGCTATGGAAGATGCTGAACTACAACTCCCATTACGCATACCCAGGCCAGCAAGACCACTGTCATGGGAAATGATGGGCTCTGTCGACCAACATCAGGTTGGTAACAGCTGCTTTAAGCCTGTATTACGCAAACTTTGGTTTTACCTTTACCGATTTTTTAATTATGCACACACTCACCAAAATACAGTATGGCCGCCGGGCCAACTGGTAGATTGAATTCGTTCAACATTCAAAAGAAATGGGAATAGGGTGGGGAAACGAAGGCGGAAACCTCAACACGAGAAAAACAAGAGAATTTCTGTAGTTGATCCAGATCCGCGGACACGCTTCCTCCCAAACCAGGTCTGCGTCCTGGCTGGCTAGCTGTCACATGAGACTGCGACAACCGGGGATCAGCAGCTTGTCACAGCCGAACCGATAACAAGTCAGCGAGGACGGCTTACCCGCCCCCTTCTTCTCCCCCGTCTTCGGCTGCGGTTCCAGCTCTTACCGTACGTGACCGTTACCATCACGGCCGAGCTCTCGTCAGGCACCGCCATTCCTGCTCGCTCAGCCCTCCGCTCGATCTGCCTCTGAGTCCCCCTGGTGCCCGGCAGCCGCCTCTCCTTCCTTCCAGTCCGGAAATTGCCCGGCGCCGAGAAAAGGGGAGGGGGCGGAAAACTTCCGACAACCAGCTCCTCTCCTTGAAAGCTGCCACAGTGATTGGTATAGGGGAGGGTAAAGAGATACCGCCTCCCTTGTACTATAAATACTGCAAGATATATCGGAGAGCCAGGCTCAGGCAGCGTTGACGTTCATTAAGTAGAAGACTGTTACCAGACACAGCTTATTCCATCACACGATGTCAAAGAAAAAGTTTGCAGTGACACGGTTCTGAAGGAGAGTACTGTTCTAGCATTAATAATGGGATTTTCCCACTCCTGTCTCATAATTAGCAATGTATTCTGTATGTGTGTATTTGCTTATCTGCTCAAATTGAATGCCCAAGGCGGCATATATCTTAAAGATAAAAACAAATGATAATTAGACGTGGTATTGTTTTGCATATGTATCAATACAAACCATATTGTGTTGATACCATCAGAGCAGGACTTTGTGATAGGACCCTAACTAACAGATGAGAAAGGGCCTCAAATCCAGCAAGCTTATCACGTTTTGAAGTAATTGAAATACTACTACTTCTGCACAACATTTATAAATCAGACCATTTATATGACCTAATTGTGGTCATATGATGTGCGTTTTTGCACCTTCAAGTCATCTTATTCTGGCCACTGCCTGGATAAATCTCAGTTTTCTTGGCAACATTTTCAGAAGTAGTTTGCCATTGTTTTCTTTTGAGGGCTAAGAGCAAGGGACTGGCCCAGAGTCACCCAGCTGGCTTCATGTATAACGCAGGACTGGAACTCACAATCTCCCAGGTTCTAGCCTGATACCTTTAACCCCTACACCAAACTGACTCTCATTATATTCTTACCCATTATTAATTTTCTTATGCTTTATTAACCAAAGTTTCTGGGTATTCATGTGTTATTCACATGCTAGGCTAAAATGTAATTAGGTAGTTTAAGTTCAGTGTGTTGCCTGGATACAGTTTGTACTGGGACCATAATTTTTACTCAAGGTTTGTAATAGATTTACCCATCTTATCCTAGGCTCCCAGTTTCATCCAGACCAAGAATGGACATTGAGACCTTTTTTTTCAGCCTCCAAACATGGTTTTAAGAAATTAATCCAGCTGACCATTTTCACACAACACATTGAACCATAAAAATAAAGGAACCCTAAACTGTCTGGGTTCATAATATATGGCACTTGCAAAATAGCCAAAACCGTATTTTACCTAGCACCTTTCCTTAGTTTGTGCTTCCTTTGCATAAATGTGCCCCAAATATCCCTTTTTTAAGCAAGCAACCAGGCAGGACAGTTTGAAATCAGGTGACACTACACCTCCCACCCCAGGGTTGGGATTAGCTTGGCATCTACTGGCTAATTTAGGCTGGGGCTGGCATGACCTGTCCTTGCTCTGGTTCAGGGCCATTTTGCTTTACACAGAAGGAGAGTCTAGTTCTTTCAAACCAGGTTGTCCCACTGTACCCAACAATTCTACAAACTGATCCCAGTTCAGAGAGCTGGATCAGCCTGAAGGGCAATGGCAGCAGATGGGGTGGGAGGGAGGAATGCACCTTACTGTAAAGTGGGAGGAAATCATCTTTCTGTGTCTGCTGTGCAAGTCTCCCTACACTTTCAACTGTTCTTCTGGACTGCCTTTGAACACAGGTGTAGCATTCTTTTGCAATTGCCCCTATTATATTAGTTAATAATTAAGCTTCCTTTGATTGCAGCTACATTTGCATAAAACCAGAGTGAATTTTGGCAATGGCTAAACTGGTCTAGCCATCAGTCAGAACTCTTGTCTCCTTATCCTCATCCCATGTTAAGGAGATTGATTAACTTTTGGTCTACTACCTTATAAGAAATAAACACAAACAAGGAGTGTGATTGGTAGTTTTTTTCCTGCTGGCTAAGTGATGTTTCTTTGGGAGAGGAGAGAAACAAAGCTGAGGGAATTCACCAATCCCTCTCTTTAATATGTCGTATACACTGTAAATAAGGGAAGCATCATTTGCCTGTATAGTATCTGTGGCAGGATATCAATCATCAGTGGGAGCAACACATTTTATGCTGGTACAGTTTTCTGCCAGGGCTGAAGGGCTGGTGGATAATACTTTAACTCAATAATAAAACAGAGCTCCTAGTATGTTGCACTGAACCCAGGAACAGATGTATATGTGTAAAATGACTATACATGTAAAATGATCTCCCTTCAGGATTTGAAGAGCGCACTCGGGCCTCTATTACATTGGATTACCATATTCTATAAATGCAAATTGAAAATAAGACCTAATTCACACAGCATACTAAACCATGTGCTTTATTCAGGTTTGGCTTAGTCTCCTGTATGAACCTAGTAAAGATGTGCAATATTTGGATCCAAAGTGGGCAAGAGTTGAGGATACATATGCTGGATTCAAAGAACCCTTTCCTATTTTGGATCCAAATACTGCATACCTCTACAACCTAGTCATTGTTTTTTAAAGCATGATTTTCAGCTAGTATCTTGTGTGAACCCAGCCAACAATGGATTAATCAAAAAATCTTGATGAAGTAAAACATAATATGAGAACTCTGTCTCAGCAAGATCACATTTTCTTAACACAGTAAAGATACCATTGGTGAAAGAATTGCTCATGGTAGTGAAAAAATAGCATTAAATGCACACTTGCAACCCAAAATTTGTAGCTGACCTTGACATGAAAATGGCCTATATATCATCTGTGCAGAAAAAAAAATACTGGCTCAATGTAATCAATGGGACTATGGTATCTTCTGTCTTTGTCATCTGTTTTCACCATCTGAAGGTGTTTGTATTGAATCTATATTTGTGATTCCTATAGTGTGTGAACGTAGAAATTCTATTTCAAAAGTTTTATCAGTACTTAACTCTTTATTTTTAAGCCAGGATCACACAACTTATGCAAAACCCAAATCATATAATTCACTGTGATGTGTGAACACTGTCATTGTTTTATAAAAAATCATTTATTTATTGTATGAATCCAACCAAAGCCTTTCCTATTGGCTGTGTTTGTGTGACGCACCCACACTT